AAATCTCTCACTTGTTTTAGGATATCTGCTCATGATCTCATGATTGAAAAGGGTAGGGCATTGGAAATACCACTTGACCAAAGATTGTGTCCTCTTGGTTGTAATCACATTGAAAACGAGTTCCACTTTCTATTACAATGTTCTATATTTGAGGAAATTAGAACTCGTTTTATAGACAAGTTTTACTATTGCCCAGCGCTTGAATGGAAATTTATTTTGCTACTGCAATCTGAAAATACACATACAAAACAAAATCTTGCAAAATACGTATTCTACTCTTCACAAAAACGTCATAGTTTGTTGGAAGGAAATTTAACTGAAATATAAATTTAATTTGGTATTCATATGTGAAGTATAAAAACAGAGCGCATCTATTGGACGAACATACCCAAGGTATATGGCCCCTGCATTAGTTTCGGGACTGCCATATCAACCGGCTCTAGCTAAAAGCAGTGCACTTAGCACTACCACACTTTCTACCCGTAGTTCAAGACCACAGAGTCCTGCTCTCCACAGACAACACAGCGGTGGTCTCCTTCAACAAGGAGGGGGGGGGGGCAGTCTAGCAGATGCCCTTTCAAGGCGGCTTCGTCTCCAGAACACGGAGTGGCAGATACTGCAATGGGTAGCCTCCAGGCTGTTTTGGCTGTGGGACGGTCCAAAGATAGACTGGTTTGCCACACCCCTGAATGCCAAGCTCCCTATTTAAGTAACACTCCTGCTGACTGCAGACGAAAGTCTTGTCTGAGCGGGCTGCCAACGTCCTGGCCAGGGCAAACAAGGATCCCACCAACGCTGCCTACAATTTAAGGTGGCGAACATTAACTGATTGGTGCAGCGGAAGGTAGATCGATCTATGCCCATCCTTCTATTGGCCAGGTCGCAGACTCCTTCGTCCAACCGTTTGACGAAGTGGGTTTGTCCAATGCAGCGATCGTTGCTACAGGTTGGCCTTGTCTGATTGTCCTATTATTAGGAGACTATTTACTGCTTTCCATATAAGAGGCCGAGACCCTGTACACGGGAACCGCCCAACTGGGATTTGTCGGTTGTGTTGTCCGCTCTAAGCAGACCGCCCTTTGAGCCTTCCTGATCAGCACCACTCAAATTTTTGACATGAAAAACAGTCTTCTTATTGGCCCTCGCTTCAGGTAGGCATTGGTTGCAACTGGGGGCATTGTCCTTCTCGGACGAGTGTGCCGCCGAACAATCAAGTTGTGCTAAAGACACAAATCAGGTTTCTTGCAAAGAACCAAATCCCAGTACCCGATCCTCAGCCGATCATCATCCCCGGCTGTCAAATATTGTCGACCCGGATGGTCAGGAGGAATTGCTTCTCTGCCCGGTTTGAGCAATAAGTTGCTATGAAAACCGTACTAGGGATTCGAGACGGGGTGCCAAGCACATGTAGGCAGGATAGGCCGGCCTGCCCAACTTCCATCGCCAGGTGGATTACTGTGACTGTATTAGAGATATATAATAACTTCCTTGACACAGAGCTTGCAGAGACACCAAGTACGAGCGCATGAGGTCTGTGCGATTGCTAACTCACTAGCGCTAGTGTCAGTAACCTCCTCGAACATATACTGAGGGCAGACTTCTGGAGAACGCAAACGTCTTTATCAATTACTACCTAAGAGACACCCAATCAATTGAGGAGGGCTTCGTTAGGTTGGATCCCGTCATAGCGGGTCAGACTCTGGTTGCTGACCCAGCCCGAACGACCACAAGGGTTCCTGCGCATAGGCAATAAGTCGGTCTCAACATCTTTGCGGACAAATTTCTCTACTGTCAGCACTCCTTGGAAGTTTCCTCATGCAGAACTGTTTCGGTTTTTACTTCGAAAGCATACTACCCCCTGAATTGGATTTTGGTTTGGGTCTAGCTTTCTCAGGCACACCAAACCCTGTCACCGTAGCAGCATTTATGGTTTTTTGCTCCGGGGACAGCACAGGCAAAGTAAGACACCACCCTCTTTTGGCGTCTTAGCTAGGTGATGAGTGGTAGTTGTAGAGTGTATCATCCCGGACTGGGAAAAAAGACTCATCATTTTCTGTTTGCTCGGAAAACCCAGCGTCTGACTATAATTCAAAATAGTCATTTTGACTGACCGGAGTCTATGGTTGGTAATTGAACGTAGTGAACTTAGACAGAGGGTTCTCCGAACTCGCCTATACACATAGTTCATACCCACTATAGACTCCGGGTTCCTCCCAACCACCCCACTCTTTTCGTAGCATTGGTCTGGTCCTCAGTGCGGAGAGAAAGGAACCAGAGTGAAGGTCAAGGTGAGGTGGCGTGACATAACCTGGTGGTCCGTGACGTAAGGAAAAAGAATCTTGGGGTTATGGGGATTCCCCTGACCTAGATTTTATCTCTCCGTCATTGGCAGAATTGCAGATTAATGCCTGCTGTTCAAAAAAATCATTTTGACTGACCGGAGACTATGGTGGGTATGAACTATGTAAATAGGTGGATTCAGAGAACCGTCTGCCTGAATCTGAACCTATCTAAGCTATTCTAAGCCTGTCTAAGCAATTAATAAACACAACTGTTTGTATCCTTGCATACAGTATATTGTCATGTATGAACTAAAACACCCTTAATATAATCTAATTTTTAATCCAGTGCAAAAAGTGCAAAAGGCAGTACTTTCAGTTGTTTGTCAGTATTAAAGTGGGGAGCATGTGCTTAGGCCTTCGTTGACCCCATGCAACGCTGGATGAGTGTAGAAAATCTGCACCCATATGTTAATATAGACGACCATCATTGGTGCACAAC